TTTTGGTTGTCAGCAGCAAACTGGTTGATCCACTCTGAGAAGGTGCTATTTAAGAGACTGAGCTGAATACAGCACCTCAGATTGAGGAAGTCTTTCGGATGAAAGACGAAACGCATCTACTTTTTTTTGCTTTGTTTTGTTTTTTGTTTTTTTGAATGTCCAGAGGACCAGATTGAACTTTTTTGGATTTTTCTACCTGGATTATTGAGCATGCATCAGGATACTTTTAAACCAATATGTGGCTTTTAAAGACAATAGGCAGTTTCACAATGTTCTCCGTCCCTGAGGGATTTTAATAGTGAATGTTTTTGAAATGAGTGATTATCTGGTCTGGAACTGAACAGTGGACAATTCAGTTCAGTTCAATTCAAAAATACTTTATTAATCCCAGAGGGAAATTAAATATTGTAACTCATCACACTGGTTTCATTAAAGCGTTGTTCTAGATGCTGATGGCTGTGGGCAGGAAGGATCTCTTGTAGCGTCTGTCTTACAACAGATCTGAAGAAGACTCTGACTGAAGACACTCTGTTCTTGGATGACAGTCTGATGAACAGGATGTTCAGGGTTGATGCAAGATCTTCAAGTGGATAGGAGTTACACTGTGGAGAAGAACAGAGGGAGTTTGTTTTTTATTTTCCGGGGCAGCGCAGAGTGACAAATCCTGGTGGGTGGAGGGAGCAATTTCCTCCACCATAGTTGAATCTTTGTCCACCCCATTCATTTGAGAAAACTATACTGCCAACAACCAACATGGAAGTTGGTGCATAGATTATTTTTTAAGTCATCCAGCTCAAAAGTGGACAGAAAGATGGAGTGCATTTCCAATTCCTTCTCTTCACTCCATAACGGGGGACAAAAATGAGAATGAAGTTTAATCTAATGGAGATGTAATTAGGACACAGGAATGTTACAGATTCTTCCCATAAATTCCCAAATTTATCATTAACTCAGAGGTATGAGGTGCCGTTTGTAAAGTTACACAATCAAAAATTAACTGCAATATTTTTTGGTTTATTTAGCGTTTCATAAGAAAAAAAATGTAGGTTTTTTTTTTCAAAGTCATATTTTCACGGTATTCACACATTTATAAATATAGTTTCAAACTAAATATTCAACTTACAAGCTAAATATTTAGTTTATAAACTAAATGTTTATGTTCAAGATAAATGTTTAATTTACAAACTAAATATTTAACTTGCAAGGTAAATATTTAGCTAGCAAGTTAAATATTAAGGTCCGAGCTATATATTTAATTAGCAAATTGAATATTTATTTTGGAAATTAAATGTTTAGTTTGGAAAATAAAGATTTACGTCTGAACTAAATATTTAGTTAGCAAGTTAAATATTTATTTTGGAAATTAAATGTTTAGCTTGGAAAATAAATATTTAGGTCCGAGCTAAGTATTTAGTTAGCAAATTAAATGTTTAGTTTAGAAATTAAATGTTTAGCTTAGAAATTAAGCTTAATTTGGAAAATAAATATTTAGCTTGGACAATAAATATTTATTTTGGAAATTAAACGTTTAGTTTAAAAAATAAATATTTAGCTTGGAAATTAAATATTTAATTTACACCTAAATATTTAGTTCACTAACATTTATCTTGGACATAAACATTTAGTTTGTAAACTGAATATTTTGTGTGTAGCTAAATATTTAGCTTGCTAACTAAATATTTAACTTTTAAAGCTCAGTATTGAGTTTCTAAACTAAATATTTAGCTTGTAAATTAAATATTTAGTTTTGAACTATGACATTTATAAATGTATGAATAAGATGGTGAAAATATGACTTTGGGGGAAAAAAACTAAAAGCTAAATAAACCCAAATATTGCTATGAATTTTTTACTGTGTAACTTTACAAACGGCACCCCATATATGTGAATATTTGTGCATGCTGTATCTTAAACTCTGCAAACGCTCCCAGCCCAGTGAGATACAAGCTTCAGCAGGGGGTGGGCATGTTGTGAATGCTTTTTGACTCTGGTTTGACTCTCTTTAACACCTAGAAGTGATACCAGTGAATTGACGGTTTTATTTTGTTAAATAGCACACATCTAATTTTCACTGATTCATTCAGTGCCTCTCCAGAAGGCCTGTGAAGCTGTAGATTAGAAACCTTAATCTGGAGAGGCAGGAGTGTTTGGTAGATTGGAGGCAGTGGGATTAGGTGGAGGTTTTGCCTTTTGTGAAATTGACCAAATGAAAGCAGCTGCATCGTAAACACAGCAGTAAATCCAGCAACACGTGAGTCAAAACTGCCTCTCGCATTTACAACCAACAGCGTGGTTGTTTTAGGATGCAGCCTTTGGTTCTTTTATCTTTTGTCAGCTGGAAAAATCTCCAATATTGAGAGCAGAGAAGAACCGGAAAGTGTTTCGACATCTCAAAGTTGCCACCTCTGTCATGTGAGCACTTCCTCAGGAACACTCAGCTCACATTAAGAAACACATCTTCACTCCAGAATCACGTACTATAACCTAGTTCCCTATTTTGGACCTAATTACATTTTTAGGAAATTTCTAAAAGCTAAAAAAAAAATATTTATTTTTTACTTTTTTCAATTTTTTTGTCCCTGAAATTAACCAAACAGTGCACATAATGAAAATTATTAATGCAAAGTAATCATATTAGCACCCACTCACTGTTACGTGACTGAGCTCTACTCTGGGAAATTAAAACGCCAACTCTGAGGACAGCCAAGCAGTGCCGGTAGCTACTGTGATGTCCGCTCCGCTCCGTCAGGTTAGCTCATTTATGTCGAAAAACCACAATTAGAAAACCTGCATGCAGCTGTTCTTGGAAGTGGTCGACTGTGTGTTTCTTCGACAAGGCCACAAAGTGCACACTAAAGCACTTGTATCTTTCCCTTTTCGAAGCAATATTGCAAGGAGAGACACAACGCGAGTTGCCTCACATCCTGTGTGTTTCTGAAAGGAAGTGGGCCAGGCAGTCTTTGAGTTAGTGAACACATCACTGTGAACAGAGCAGGGCAGGGAGACAGAGGAAAATGTTGCAGAGAGCAGCATCAAATGTGTCAGACAAAACAAAGAGCAGCAAACCAAAGGTAGGTGAAACACAGGCTTCTTCTCTGACTTTCAAAAGATTTAAAAATCTTTTCGCTCAGTCTGCTCCCTCTGGGGTCTATCCTGAGGAAACAGTCTTTCACTGTTATGCTGATGATCATGAGATCTATCTGCCCTTGAAACCTAACAGTTCTTGCTCCATTCACCCTCTGTTAAAACATCTTGATGACATCAAGGCATGGAAAGCTTCAAATGTTTTAAGTTTTAAGAAGACTGAAGTTGTGTTTAACTCTAGATATACTGTTGTCTCTGATCCTGTAAACCTGGACTCTCTTCAGCCGCGTCTGAAGCAGTCTGTTACTAACCTCAGGATGGTTTTAGACTCTGACTTTAAGTTTAATAAACACATTAACTCTGTTCTGCAGAAAAGTTTCTTCCACTTAAAGCTGATAGCTAATCTTAATCTGTTTCATGCTGTGTTCATGCGTGTTCATCTGCTCACAAAGATTCTTGTTCGTGCTGCTGTTCAGCGTATTGTTTTAATGCTACTAGTGCTTAGCGTATTTCTAGTTAACGTTTTTCTTGGTTCATATCTTAGATCTTATCACTGGTTTTCTTTTACATTTTATTGTTGGGTGTAATTGCGACCCTGTGTACATAATCTCGTTCCACCACACGCACCACATGTGCTGCGAATGACAAATTAAGAAACTCTGACTCTTAACTCTGTGTTATCCAGATGTGACCTTGAAGAACTAGTCCATGCCTTCATTACTGACTGGACTGTAACACTCTCTATGTTGGGGTCAGTCAAGTCTCTATTCCACGTCTCCAGCAAGTCCAAAATGCTGCAGCTCATTATCACATTTCTCCAGTTTTGTCCTCTCTTCACTGGCTCCCTGTTCGTATCAGAATTGATTTTAAAATTCTCCCGTTGACCTTAAAGTGCATTGATGACCTTGAACCCTCATACCTCTCTGACCTACACATGTTCCTTCTCGGGCACTGAGATCATCTGATCAGCTGCTTTGTTTGTTCTAAAAACAAAACTGAAGCTCAGCTAAACTTTGAACAATCTGCCCCAACATCAGACAGACCACTTCACTTCCTGTTTTTAAATCTCTGCTGAAAACTCATCTGTCTTCTCTGATGTTTAACACAGTGTGATTTGATTTCGTAGTTATTGTTCTGTATTTTTATTTTGATGCTTTTAATAAATTTTTCAGGAGTATCATTATTTTTTTGTTGTATTCCGTTAAAATACTTCCATTGATTTTACTGTTAAGCACTTCGAGGACAGCTGCTGTTTTAAATGTGCTTTATAAATAAAGTTGACGCAAAAATCAAACCAATCTGAACACTTAAATCAACATGTCTAATTATTATCCTAACAACTGTTGTTTGGCTGAAATATATTCATCCAACGTCAAACATTGGGTTTTAAATGTGTGTAAATGAGTGGTGTCTGTGAGAGCAGCACAACGAGGGGCTGAGGACCAGACGGCTGTCCAGGAGCTCACATTTAAACAGGATTGCCAGGGATTAATCATTTATATAATTATTTTGGGGCTTTGCCCAGAGGATGGGGGGATTAGGATGATGTTTTGTTTTACGTAAAATTGACCGACAGGGCAGAGCAGCCATGCAGGGATGTATTTATCTCATTTGAGGAATGATGTTCTGGTTTCACCCTGCTGCTGCCGTTTGTTTTTGTTGTTTTGGACTGTTTTTGGTTGTCTGTTAGCAAAATATCCCATGAACCACTGAAGAGATTTTAATTGGATTTGGTTAGTTCAGATGTCTGTTTCTGAGTAAAAGAACCCGGGAATGTTTAGCTTCACGTGAACAGAAAGTGAGACTCGAACTGCTGACATGGACTGTGTGAACCCACAGCAGCTCCTCAACGTTCTGACTGTTTGCTGGTTCTTCACAGCGCTCCACCAGCTTCGGACGCTTCGAAGGCCTCAGACATCACTCCTCACACGCAAACCCCGAGGAAAATGGAACAAATACGGTTTGTAGACATGCTTAGACTTCAGTCTTATCTGTATGTATGCAGAACGTTCTATTGTTAATTGACTGATGTCAACTAAAAGTAAAATAATTTCATAAAAACAAGGTTCGTGAAAGTGCTGCTTGTTACTGAGCGTTAATGAACCAGAGGGCCAAACTGTGTGGACTGAATTTGACCCGGTTTCTGTTTCGTGTCCTGCAGCTCAGAGACGAGGCCGCAAGTCCAGACCCGAGCAAACCCGCCAGCCTCGGCAAGAAGATGAAGGAGATTTCGCTCACCATGCGCAGGAAAATGGGCAAAAAGCACGCCAAGTCTCTGTCCGAGGAGACGGTGAGTCATGAAGCTTAGGGTGGAGTTCTTACTCCTTTTCATAAACTGATCAGTCGATAAGCACGAATCGTCAAAAAGCCCCTCTGCTGATGTCACGCACATCGGCGTCGTTTACAGAAAGCTTTGTTTTTTATAGCGTTCATCTGACACAAACCACATCCTCGAACATGGCGCTGCCTGTCAGGGTGGAAAGGATGTTTTTTAACCCGAGCTGCACGGAGATAAATCATCTTTCTGCTGCTCTGATAGATAAGGACATGTTTTTAGTAGATCTGAAACTTTCTCAGCTTCCATCTTCACCAGACGTTCAGTTCTAAATATCTTTTACAACAACCGCTCTAAACACGTAGGAGGGTTGTGTCAAATAAAAGTAAAATCAGAACTTCCATAAACCCATAATTTATAAAGAAAATGGAACATAGTAAAAACATGACTTGATTAAACTAAGATTTTGTAACTTTTTTAATGCGAAAAAAGGGTTATTTTGAATTTAAGGGTAGAAACACGTAAAACAAAAAAAGTTGTTCCAGGAGCAACAAAAAGCTGAAAAATAGGTTGCACAAATCAGAAACATCTGGAGGAGCATTTTTCAACTAATGAGGTTAATAATCAACAGATCAGTCAGAGGACGGGGTTTAAACAGAGACTTTTAGAAGTAAAGATGGGCAGAGGTTCAGCAGTCTGTCTGACACTAGAGGAACAATTTCAGAATAAAGTTCCTGAATGAAATACTTTAATCTCCATCATCTGCTCATAATCTCATCAGCAGATTAGTATAATCTGTAGAAATCTGTGAACTCAAAGGACGAGGCCCTCAGGGGCCACTGCATTAAAGCCTGGTCTGGTTCTGGTTCTGTTCTGGACTCAGGAACACTTCCACAGATCAGTGTCTGTCACAGTTCATCCACAAATGCTGCTTAAAGCTCTATCAGGCAGAGAAGAAGCCAGATGTGGAGACCATCCAGAACTGCTGCCGTCTTCTCTGGACCAGAGCTCATTTCAAATGAACTGAGGTAAAGTCCAGAACTGTTCTGAGGTCAGACAAATCTGAAGTTCTGTTTGGAAAACACACCTCTACTAAAAAGAAGAGGGAACATCCAGCCTGCTATCAAAAGCCTGCCTCTCTGATGGTATGGGTGTGCATTAATGCCTCTAGAATGAAAAGTTCAAGACTCCATCTACAGATTTTAAGCATCAACTCTTTTTGACATGTTCATATGATTCATTGTGAATAAAATACAAGTTTAAGAGACCTGCATTACATTCTGCTGTTATTCCCCACGTTTACACCCCAACATTTTCAGATGTCATGTTTTCATTAAAAAGCTCCTCCCTCTTTATTAAATGTATTCATGTTGTTTCTTTCCAGTCAGAGGACGCAGACAAAGACCCCGAGGCAGAGACTGAAAACTGCCCTCCAGCTGAGAGAAGCTCTGAGAAGACGAGCAACTCTTTGGAGAGTCTTTCCAGCAGACAGAGCTGCTCCAGTGAGTACCTGCACAGCCCGACCCGATCGTTTAACCAGAACCGTTCTGTCTGAACCTGTGGGCTGTGTCTGCCGGGTCAGGTGGGGTGACCAGTGAGTCCAATGGTTCTGGGCAGAGAGACAGCTTGAAGCTGGAAGAAGACGGCTCCTACCAGGGCCAGTTCTGCGGCAGGGCCCGGGTCCACACGGACTTTGTTCCCAGTCCGTACGACACCGACTCCCTGAAGCTGAAGGTAAATGGAATTATCTAAAACAAAGGCTAAAATTAGCATAAAACAGCTAAATAGTAGCTGAAATAGCAGAAAAAGCTGAAACGATCAGAAAAAAGCTGCAAGGACCATAAACTGAAATTAGCGTAAAGAAGTTAATTTGGCAGAAAGTAGCAGAAATTACCACAAAAATTTGAATTTATCTGAAAACGGCTGAAATTGGTTAAAAATGCTATAAAAGGGGGATGAAAAGGTAGAAAAAACTGAAATTAGCAGAAGAAAGCGAAAAGAACACGTTTGCTGAAAGAAGCAGAAATCAGCACAAAAACATGGAAATTATCTGAAAGAAGCCGAAATTAGAAAGAAAAAAAAAACTCCAGCTGAAAAGTAGCTTAAAAAGCAGAAAGAAGGTTAAATTTCCAGAAGTGGACAAAGCAAATTTTTGCTGAATTAGGCTGGAAAATGTTGAAATAAGTGCAAAAAATGGGGAATTAGCTGAAAAAGCAAAAATTAGCCTAAAACAGCTAAATAGTAGCTGAAATAACTGAAACTAGCATAAATAAGCTGAAAGGTGCATAACAAGCTGAAATTAGCAGAAAGAAGTTAGAAAAAGCAAAAAAAATGTAGTTAGCAGGAAGAATCTGAAAGGAGCACAAAACAGCTGAACCCCCCCCAAGCTTAATTTAGCTGAACATAGCTCTAAAAAATTAAATTTGCACAAGGAAGCTGAAAGAAGCTGAAGCAGAACAAAATGTGAAAGGAGCAGTAAAAAGTTATAAACAAATCTAAAGATATTATCGCTCACTTTTCAGCAGCAGACAGCAACAACTAAATTTAAGCTTTCCATCGAAGAAAAAAAAATTAATATATATACATATTTATTTATTTATTTTATTTTATTTTATTTTATTTTCTCCCTTGTCCTGAAACTCAGAATTATTGTCTGAGTGTCAAAGTGATGCCCAACAGATTTACTTTCACAAGCAGAGCATTATGGCTGGCCTTAATGCTCTGCTTGATATATAAAAAAAAATTTATTACAATTTTCTTTGGGCTTGTTTCAGATGTAATGGACATGGGGATGAAAAACAAAGAAAAAAAACAAAGCAGAAAAGTGAGAGAAAAGTTAAAAGGTAAAGAAGGAGATAGGAATAGAGGAGAGAGAGGGGGATAAAGAGAACACAAATCAACATCATTGAAGTCTGCCTCTAGACCTGTGGAAAAAAAAGACAAGACAAACCAAGAAACCAAGAAACCACAACAACAAACAACATATATAATGATACTTATAACATCATTAGAAAGTATTTTATACAGTACATGGTAATACAAGATGTATTTAGTGGCCACCACAACCCAACTGAGTGTGTATCTGATAAACACCTGAATTTAAACACCTGTGCGAGCATGCTTATCACTATAAGGTTTCTCCATAAAAATGTTCAATAGTGGATGTGGGGACCCACAGACCCATCACCACAGGACACGACGGTAACACAGGGAAGACCGGAGCCACAGACACAAGCCCGCAACTCCAGGAGTCTCCCCAACAGGGACACCCACATCCCCCAGAGAGAGAAGCAAAGGGAAGCCCCGGGCGACCCCCAGCAACCACAATGTAGAAACCCCAGGAGGCTGTAGCGACGAGTCAACAGGCCCCGCCGGCAACCCGCCCCTCCAGAGTAGATCCGGCCATGGACACCGAGCCCCGAGGTCATACCCCCCCAACAGAGGCCCGACAGAGCCAGGGCACCCAGCCCCCGGCAGGCAGCCACCAGGGTGGGCCTGCACACACCCCATCACCCAGCCCCAGATGCTGAGAGCCGCCAATGCACCGGCGGCAGGGGGGCCCACCATCAGAGGGGAGTGTGATGTGGGAAGTAGACCCCACATTAAATGGGGGGCCAAAATTGATCCAAGAGAGGGGACCACCTAAAACCCAACCCAAGACATAAACAGGCACACAGAGACAGCCCGACAGAACCTCTGCCGGGTCGTCCATGCGCCCCACCCACCCGACAACGACCACAAGTCGGCCCCAGGCCGGGGGCCAGAGCAGCAGGGAGCAGCAGCTGAGGAAGACCGGCCCAGCGCACCAATGATCAGGCACCCCAACAGTCCCACACCACAGGCCCGGAGAAGCCCCGGCATGCCACCTATGCCCCCCCCCCCCCACACACACACACACACACAGCACCCCCCACCACGAATGTCACACCAGGCCGACCAGCCAGCACCCCGTCAAAGCGAAGCAACGCCTCTGACCATACACCACCAACGACCATACACACACAACTACAGCCGACCCCCTGCTGGAACCCAGCAGCCGCCCCAGTCAAAGGGCCGGCCATCGCAACCATCTTTGCATTCATTAAATATTTTGCTAACAGATGTATGCAAAAACGTTATCGCCCACTTTTCAGCAGCAGACAGCAACAACTAAATCCAAGCTTTCCATCGAAGCTAGTCTCAGTGATATTTATTTTAATGTTTTGTTTGTTTGTTTCAGGTGGGTGACATCATCAGCATCATCAGCAAGCCTCCGATGGGCATCTGGACCGGTAAGCTCAACAACAGAGTGGGCAACTTCAAGTTCATCTACGTGGACGTTCTGGTGGAGAGAAAAGAGGAAGAGGAGGCTCCAAAGATCCGGCAGCAGAAGCTGTGCAGAAAACCTCGGCCCAAAACGCTGCTGGAGCTCCTGGAGCAGCTCAACCTGGAGGTCAGAACGTGTCCCGGCCCAGATGCTTTCAGAACTTGTTGTGGAACCTGACGGAGCCGGAGACGTCATGAAGGTGTCTCGTTTCAGGAGTACGCTTCAGCCCTGCTGCTGAACGGCTACCAGACTGTGGAGGACCTGCTGCACCTGCAGGAGAAACACCTGGTCGAGCTGAACGTCAGAGACCCCGAGCATCGCCGGAGGCTGCTGGCTGCTGCCGAGTGTCGCTACGTAGAAGGTCAGGACCCCCCCACCCCCCAGTTAGCTGTCATCATCAGATAAACTGGTGCAGATCTTCACAATAAGTACAGCTGATCAGCCTCAGAGTTTAATATTGCCTGATGAAAGGGAGCAGCATGGTGGTGATGTGGTTAGAGCTGTCTCCTCTCAGCTAGAAGGTCACAGGATCGCCTCCCAGCCTTTCTCTGTTACTGTACCTTAGAGCTGATGACAGGAAACACCATGGCGCCACCTGCTGGTTGGTCTCCTGAGGTTCTGAGCGGAGAGTCCAGAGCTTCAGTTTTTCCGGTCAAAGTTACAAACATGTTTAACCTGAACCATACTCCATTCTGACAGCCTAGAGGCTTGGATTAATTAACAACAAGCGTCAGAGAGTCTGAAATCAAACTTGTTTAATATACGTCCAGTTGGACCACAACGTAAGAGAAGTAAGATTTTCTACAGATTCTTTCAGAAACTTGAGTTCAGAGTCAGAGATTCTTTATTCTCGTTCGCACCACGTGGAACATGTGGTGGAGCGAAATTATGTACACAGGGTCCCAGTTACATCCAACAATAAAATGTAAAAGAGAAACAATAACATCTAAGATATGAAGTAAGAAAAACATCTGTTCTGAGTTCTGTGACAATTGCCTCAGATCGGATTTAAAACTAAGTAAATATATATAATTTAATACACATGACGAAATATATATAATTAAAACTCAAATCCATTTACTTTATGTATATAATTTATTTATTTTTTTTACCTTTAAACAGCAACAATTCTATATGCAAGAAGAAAAACCAGACTAAATCATAAATTCAATTCAGATCCAGATTTAAATTTTAAGGCCAACTTTAAATATAAGATTTATCAAAATTTGTCTTATATTGAGTCAAGTTTCCCGCTTTTAGAAACTCTAGGAACCACAAGTAAACCTGCAGTCTGAGAGCGATGAGTTCTGTTTGGAAAATATGGATCAAGAAGCTTTTGTTTTAGGGAGCTTTTAAAATGAGTAACTTTATGTAATCTGCTGTAATCAAATGATTAAATCTGATTTAATACGTAACACCTGCATCAGCCGGCATACTCCAGAGTTTTACTCGACCTGATGAGAAATGAATGAAAACAGCACTGTTGTATCTGAGACTTCCTGTTAGTCAGGCAGACAGAAGGTGCTGTAATCTGTAATTCCATGGTTCCAACATGTCGGCTCATAATCTCACCAGCCTGAATGGTAAAAGGAACGATATCCCTTTTGTGGTTTTTACCATTCTGTTAAAGTTTAACTGACTTTATGGGGTGCATTTTGTCAAGTTTTACAGTCAAAAATTAACATCAATATTTTGGTTTATTTAGCCTTTAATAAGAAAAAATAAAAAAATTTCCAAAGTCATATTTTCACCATGTTATTCATACATTTATAAATGTCATAGTTACAAATTAACTATTTAATTTACAAGATAAATATTTAGTTTACAAACTATTTAACTTGCAAGTTAAATATTTAACTTGTTAGCTAAATATTTAACTTGCTAGTTAAATATTTTGGTCTGAGCTAAATATTTAGCTGTCAAGATAAATATTTAGTTTAGGAATTAAATGTTTAGCTTAGAAATTAAATATTTAGTTAGTAAACTAAATATTTTTATGTAAATCAAATATTTAATTTATACCAAAATATTTAGTTTACTAAATAAATATTTAATTTGCAAGTTAAGTATTTAGTTTGTAAACTAAATATTTATCTTGTAAATTCAATATTTAGTTGGGAACTATGACATTTATAAATGTTTAAATAACATGGTGAAAATATGACTTTGAAAAAAAAAACTATTTTTTTTCTTATGAAAGGCTAAAAATAAACCAAAATATTGATGTTAATTTCTGACTGTGCAACTTTACAAACAGCACTCCGTATGACTCAGGCTCAGCCGAAGGTGAACAAACTGGAGGCGATTGTAGTTTTTGGGCTCAGCAGATGACCGATCAGTAATTTAATCCGGTTGAAAGGCGGGATTAAAAATCTGGTGGAGCGTCGTCACTGTTGACTGAAGGAACTGAACACGTCTGAAGGAAGGCGACGTGGTCTCTGCTCTTGACGGCCTCTACACTTCTCATAAAATGACTCACAATGATCACGTGTGTGAGTTCGTTGCTTTCAAGATGGCCGTTAAAGTTAAGCAATGTTAGCAAACACAAAATCTGCTAACCCTCAGCCAGTCTGACAGCTACTGACCCAACATTTGGTGTGGTAGTAGCTGAGGCTGATCTGCTTTAAAACCTTTACCATCAGCTTTGTTTGTCTGTTAGCAAAATATCTCATGAACTCTGGATGGATTTTAAAGCATTTAGAGCATACGGGGAGTTCGATTAACTTTTAAATGCAACCCAGTTCATGATGGCTGCCACAGTCATCTGACATTAGGAAACACAAAAATGGCTACAGTTCTGCTATGTTTTCAGATAGTAAGCTTAAATTTGGTGTGGTAGTAGCTGAGAGTGATTTACAGCAGCCTGCATGAGACCGTGCAGAATGTTATTTACACAGTTTGACCCAAACTGCTCTAACTTAGCTCCTTCTCAGCAGAAAATGGTTTTAGGTCTAACTTTGGCCTGAAAAGTGGCGGGCGATGTACATTCCTTTAAGGGATGAGAGTTCCTAGAAATACATCAGATAAACTAACGGAGCGTGCAATCACAGATTTGCTCCAAAACGTGTGTGGGAGCAGCTTTCTCCATCATTTCATCTGTCTTCCTGCAGGTGACGACGTCAGCGACTCAGTGGAGCACAGGTCCTCCCTCAGCCAACAGGAAGAGGACAGCGACTGTCCCAGAGACTCGGGATGCTTCATCCCATCCGAGTGCTCAGACACTAAGGAGGACACAGACCAGGTCACAGACGAGGTGGACGCCTGAACTCACTCCACAGATGATGGATTCTGGTGGAAATAAAAAACCAAGATATTCAGACCTGAACTAATCTTCTCTAAACGTCACCCATTGTTCTGTCTTCAGGCTTTGCTAAAATGTAAACATTTTATTTTATTTGACACATTAAACTCAAGGATGTAAAGATCGTCAGCTTATTTTTTCGCTGCTTTATCAGAGTAAAAACGGTGTTTTGTTGTTGGTTAGAGTGTTTTTAAGATGTTAAGAAGTGACGTTTTCTTGTTTTTACGTTTGTTATATTTATTATCCTGCAAATTATTCATTTTTTTTTGTAAATGTGTTGCCTTTATTTATCTCAGCTGCATCTTTTTTACATTTCCTAACGCATCCAGTCACAGTTCAACCTTCAGACTTCAGCTTTTCTCTCGATTAAGACCAAACATCTGTTCTGTACATAACAAGTGTATTATTTTATAAACATACATTTGAATGAGTGAGTGTGAGAGAGGACAGTTTATGTTAATATGAGTATCAGTATTTATCAATTTTCACAGCCTTTTGTAAATAACTCAATAAAACAAATTTTAACACACATTTTGTTGATATTTGATTTGAACACACATCTACATTCTTGTGAACACATGCATGCTGAATAAATAAAAAATTAACTGTATTATAACAAACGTTAATAACAATAATAATAATAATAAGTGTACATTGAAAATATTTTCTCTTTGTACAAAGTACTGCTGCGTTCGAAACACACTGGGAAGTCGGATATTTCTATATAATAAAACAAAACTGCTTAAATCAGGGGATTTTCTGAGTTCACAAAGAAAAACAGGAAAGGAAAAAGAGTAATGGAACTTGTGAACTTCTAGATATTTGTATGAAACGGCTTCATGTAAACTAATTTTAAAATGGTAAAGATAATGGATGGATGATGTATTTTACATATAAAAGAATAACGTAACGTACATAACGTAGGCTATCTCTGAGGGACAAAAATGCAACAAGACTATGCCACTTTCTGATTGGCTTAGAAGACGGAGTCGTTTACGATGATAACATACGTCATCGTAAACGTTTTAAAGACTGCAAACTACATTACCCAGAATTCCCAGAAAGTGGCGTAACGTTGACGTGTACTTTACTGACGAGGTGAAAAACCCCAGTTTCAACACGTCCAGCTGTCACTAGTCACGGTTTAGCGGCACGTCGAACCATTTTCGCCGACATTTGGTGATTTTTCGACACTTCCTGGAGATGGCGGGAGAAATGTCCATGATTGGTAAGTTGAATTACAAACATAGATGCTAACACACAAGCTAGCCGGTGTCCATCTGCTGAGAGTCTCGTGTCGTAGGTTCGGTGATTCTGGCTCTGCTCCTGGCTGGTTATCTGGGCCAGCAGTACCTACCTCCCCCCAAACCCAAAGTAATCGGTCTGGACCTGGGTACTACCTTCTGCTCGGTCGGGGTCTTCCACCCGGGTAGCGGGGAGGTGGAGGTGGTGGCGGACGCGGAGGGGAGGAAGAGCATCCCCAGCGCCGTCACCTTCACTGCCGCCGCGGTGCTGGCCGGGCACGAAGCTCTGGAGCTGGGCGACATCAACCCGCACAACACCGTGTACGACGCCAAGAGGTTCATCGGGAAGAAGTTCGAGGCAGGTGTGCTGGAGGAGGAGAGCTCCAGGTACCCGTTCAAGGTGGGTGGTGCTGGGTTCAAGCTTCAGCTTTTACCTTTAGTCCATCTCAATATAAACTATAACAACGCCATCATTTTGTTGCTTTTAGTCGGTCTAAAGTGTTTTGTTGAGGTTTTTTGCAGTCAGGTATTTTTTCTTGACAGGTCTATCAAAGTCAAACCCCTCCCTCTGTATTTAACTCTTCCTTTGTCAGTAAAACTGTCACTTCCACAGTTTAAGTTTGCCCACCTCTAGAACAGATTATATTTGTATAGTAGTTTTAATTTTCATGTGTAGAGACAAAACGTTTAGTAACATAATGTAGTGTGCTATTGCTCCTCCTTTGTCATGCTGGAAGACCTGGCTGTAACTGATCTTCAGGGAGGTCTAGTTGGTCCAGGAGCTGGATCTTTGTCTCATCTGATAGCAGCACTTCTCTAAATCCTTTAGGTGTTCTCTGACATACTTCAGACAGGTGTGGACCTGCACCTCCCTGCAGACACTGAGATTAGAGGTGGAGCTGCTGGTGGCTGTGGTCTCAGCTGGCTTCTCTATAAACAGAAACCCCTTCCTCCTCATCATTCTCACCCTGTAAGGGTCAGTCTTAAAGCTCCAGACTGATTAATGAACATTTTATTTCTTCATCTGAATAATGACACCAACACTCTTCACCTTGTCACTAAGCTTCATTCATTGAGTCAACCTTTATTTATACAGGTTAGTTTCATTGAGCCTCGTAACTCAATAACAATAGAGACCTGTTAATGATGGTGGTCTTGTAACTCCAGGGTCCTTGATCAGCTTTAGTGTTCCCTGTGATGGAGAGGACAGGTGGGTTTATAACAAGCTGGAATGAGGAGGGTCTAAACTGCAATAATTGTCATGTGTGTCACGTGGGAACATAACCCATCTGTGCATGGGAACCAGAGTTCTGGTTTAGTTCACTCTGATGGGGGAAATAGTTTGGAGTTTTCTATAATCTTTCAGCTTTTTCTTCTTCAGGGGTCTCCCCATTGAGTCATCCTCCTCTATCTCACTCTGTCCTCACTACAACTACCTCCATGTTCTCTCTAACTGCATCCATATATCTCCTCTTTGTCTTTTTCCTGGCAGCTGCATTTCTAACATCCTTCTACCAATATACCCACTGTCCTTCCTCTGGACTTGTCCAAACCATCTCAGTCTGGCCTCTCTAACTTTGTCTCCCAGATGTTCAACCTCATGTCTCTGTCTCCAGACCAAACAACACAGCTGGTCTCACCTCTGTCTTGTAAACTTTTTTTCTTTGACCTTTGCTGACACCCTTTTGTCACAAATCCTCAAAACTTTTCTCCATCCACTTCATCCTGCCTGGACTCTCTTCTTCACCTCTTTACCACACTCTCCATTTTCCTGGACAGTGGACCCCAAGTAGTTGAAGTCCTGCACCTTTGTGACCTCTGCTCCTTGTAGCCTCACTGTTCCACCAGCCTCCCTCTCATTTACACACATGTACTCTGTCTTACTACGGCTGACTTTCATTCCTCCTCTTTCAGGTGCATACCTCCACCTCTCCAAGTTCTCTTCCACCTGTTCCCTGTTCTCACCACAGATCACAATGTCATCTGCAAACATCATCGTCCATGGGGATTCCTGCCTGACCTCATCTGTTAGTCGGTCCATCACCAGAGCAAACAAGAAGGGGCTCAGAGCCGATCCTTGATGCACTCCCACCTCCACCTTGAAACTATCGGTCACTCCTACAGCACATCTCACTACTGACCTGCTGTCCTCATACATGTCCTGTACCAGTCTAACGTACTTCTCTGGCACTCCAGATTTCCTCATGCAATACCACACCTCCTCCCTCGGCACCCTGTCAGATGCTTTTTCTAAATTCACAAAGACACAATGGAGTTCTTTCTGACCCTCTCTGTACTTCATCAGCATTCTCAAAGCAAAGATGGCATCTGTGGTGCTCTTTCTTGGCATGAAACCACACTGCTGCTCACAGATGGTCACCTCTCGTCCATGTCCTGCTTCCACAACTCTCTCCCAGATCTTCACTCTGACTCATCAACTTAATTCCCCTGTAGTTGCTACAACTCTGTACATCACCCTAGTTCTTAAAAATGGGCACCAGCACACTTTCGCCATTCCTGAGGCATTTTCTCACCCTTATATGCCATTGAATATTTGAGTCAAAAACCTCACTGCCATCTCCAAGATGTTTCTAAACCTCCACTGGTATGTCATCAGGTCCTACTGCCTTCCCCTTCTTCATTCTTTTCAGAGCTTTCCGGACTTCACCCTCACTAATCTTTCCCACTTCCTGCTCTACAGTTTCTATGACCTCTACTCTTCTTTCTCTTTCATTCTCTTAATTCATTAGCTCATCAAAGTATGTATTCCTTCCATCTTCCCGTCACACTCTTCTCACTTGTTAGAACATTACCATTCCTATCTTTAACAAACCTAACCTGCTGCACATCCTTTCCAGCCTAATCCCTCTGTCTTGCCAATCGGTACATGTCCTTCTTGCTTTTTTTAGTATCCAGTCTTCCATACAACTCATGCCTTTTGTTATGCCTTAGCTACCTCCCTCTTTGCTCTACGTTGCATCTTATAATAATAATAATAATAATAATAATAATAATAATAATAATAATAATAATAATAATAATAATAATAATAATAATAATAATAAT